AAGAGGATGCTCCGTGAATCTGGGAGTCTCCACAGCCTGGTGGTGATGCCTTGTGGGTGCTTGAGTGCGGATGTAGCGAGCCCTACCAATGAATCAATCTCTGTGAAACAGAAAGTGAACTAAGTGAACCTCAATTCTGTCAACGGGCGGACCATCTGGAAACCTGGTTGGATGCTTTACTTGAAAAGACCTCATCTTCTGGTCGTCGCCTGCATGATCAGTTCCCGTACTTTTTGACCCAACTTCTTACAACCCAAAAATGGTTGTGTGGCTGGGCTCGGGGTATGTCTCAGTTGCATCTCCACCAATTCACGGGGCCTGTGTCAACTCCGACCCAGCGATAGCCTCATGCCGATCGCCGGGTGACAGTGGGGACACTCTGTTCTAGAAAAATGTGCGCTCTTGCGACAAAAATACACTTGCCAAATGGGAGCTGGACCTGAGTGGGGCTTGCTGTGTGCCCTTGCGACCAGCTCATGCCTTGAAATTCTCAGCTGCTAAGCGGTCCAGCGGGCGCACGGAGCGAGCAAAAACTTTAAAAAAAAACTGGCAGGGTCCGCCTTATGCATTCCAATTTGGCTAGTCGAAAAGGTTAAGCCATACCCCAAGGAGAAAGGCATGAATCCAATGGAAGGAGCTTCAAGGAACACACCCTAGGTGCACTCATCCTTGAGCTCCATGATCATTTCATACACATCCCGCTTCCCATCCACCCTGGTGGCAAAGTCTTCAGGGTCTTGCTCCACATTCTGGAGACATAGGGAAAGCGACCTGCGCAAGGTAGGTGGCGGACGAACCTTGTGATCTTGATGGGGGAGCTGCGATCGTATTCATGTATCCATGATCATTCGATCATCCATGATCATTCGATCTGATCACAACTTCGAACAATCTCCCTCTGACGCTTCGATGGTCATCCACCTCTGTTGGTCGGAACCTTTTGTCGAACCTCTTGTCCCGTTGCTGGAACAGGCAGAAAGAACAGAAACAAAAGAGTATAGAAACACCACTGAGACTCTAGTCAGAGTCTGGGACATGGTTCCACACCTGTGGACCCATCCAGCTTTCTCATCTGTTCCTGTTCCTTTGACCATCCACAGTTTTTGCCCTGAATAGATGGCTTTCTGCGAAAGGATAGCATGTGGAATAGCCACTGACCGTTTTTTTGGGAACGTTGGGTCCTATTGGAAGTACCCAAGGTGAAATAGACAAAGATGGAAATCCACTTCACCAAGTGGAATAGCCAAAGGAGTACTATCTAACCGGTTCTTGCTAGCAGCCCTCCTATCGTTTCCAAACCCCTGCCCTGTCCCCGCGCGCGATTTTTCAAGCAGTCAGTACATCGACCGTCCATCCGCACGACATGCCCTGGCTTTTGTGGTTCACTCCACCAGCAGTGCATCCCAAATTGGCCCCTAAACTGGTTGAACTCTGAAAAATGCATCGCCGACTTTGAGGATGGACATAGCAAGGAGAGGCTATCTCTCCATCTCAAGAAGCTGAGCTCAAAATGAGGGGATCCCTATCTGGTCAGTGAATTCCTCTCCCGGTTTCAGGCAGTATTCACCTGATAGAACCTGAAAATGGACCTTTTGAAAGACAAATTCCTCTACAACTCAGTGGTTTTGGGGTTCCATGTGTATCCACCTAATTGAGGATCTTGCACTTGGCTGCGGCTCCACAAAAAGTAATATCCGTCCACAAGTGTTTGGTTTCCTTTGCCTGCAAGTCAATATGGCTTCACTGGATTTCACTGGTGGTTTTGCAACCGCTTCCGAGTGGTCCCTTCACGCGTCTTGTTCCTACAGAGGAGACCACATGATCCCTTCACTTGGCCTCGCTGCAGTCCACATGATCCCCTCCATTCGACTATGACTATAAAATCTGGACACCCAAAAGGTACCAAAAATGGAGTCCGCAGATCGGACCAGCCAAAACCACGCCTCACATGCCTCTGGTGCGTGTGGCGATCGGGAGGATGGAGGCGACCATCGGCCGGAAGTCGTCCCGGCTCCATGGAGGAACGGGGATCCATCAAAGGCTCTTCATCACCTGAGCGATTCATTTTTGAACAAACCAGCAACAAAGGAACACTTATGTCAAAAAATTGAAGACCTTCAATGGCCTTCAATGCTGCAAAACACCACGCGCAGGAGTAGGTGTCTGGACTCATGTCAAAGTTTCCCAGTGTGGCGGGGCAGGTTTCTTACCAGATACCGTGTTCGTGCAAAGAACACCCTTGTTACATCTCCTTTCAAGGGAGACTCCCTTCAAAGAAGACCTTCATAAGCATCAACAGTGCACTGCAAGGAGCATTGCTCTTCTTGAACAATCAAGCCCAGTTTGAACTGGTTCTTCCTGCAAAGATCTTTCTGAGCATTCGCCTGCACCTCAGTTTATGCTATGGATGCGCTAGGGTACAACTGGCATGACCAGCATCTTTTGCAACCCTTCGGATCCACAGCAGCAAATACAAGAACACTGAGAGGAGATATGTTTTGACAGCACAATGAAATGATTGTGCATGTGTCGTAATTCCGCAAGAGAGCAAACGTCCCCGATTTGGAAGCAAACTGGCCATGAGTTCATCTTACTGATCGAACATCGTTTGATATCCTGGCAAAACTGCGCCACACCGCCACACTCACATGCAACAAGTACTTCATATGTTTGTTGGAGTACGGTGGGTGTCCAACATGGGGTCTCGAATCTGGTTGACGTCGCTTGGAGGCTGGGCAAGCTGGTAGCACCACATGTCTCGCGGCGTCAGGTCGTATGTGCCCGTCAGCGAGTCTTCCATCGAAGGCGAGGGTTGGAGCTGTTTCAGCAGCACCAGCGAGACCGAGACCGAGACCGAGACCGAGGCCGTTAGCGCGCCCAGCGACCACACCATCTGCTTTTGGAAAGCCTTCGTCTTGGGGAGGGGCAATGAAGTCCCAGTCCTGGACGTTTGTTTTCGAAGCTGTAGACGTTTGAGTGCAGTTGAGGCGGTGTCTTTTCAGCGTTTGGCGGTTTCTTCGGTTTCAACATCTGGCAGCACCCTGCCGCTGCACTGAGCCAGTTCGCACCGATACCCAGTGGCGAACGCAGCGTGCGCCACCGACCACGCAGCTCCAAAGCGCTCCAAAGCGTGACACCAACACCGGCAGTTCGTCTTTTCCCTGCACCAGCAAGACCCACCAGAAACATCCGAATTCACCACACATCCAAGTTTTGCTGGAGCCCTCACGAATCAGAAGTTGGGGCACCAAATGTCTCTGAAACAAGGCTTACAGATAGGAAGATTTGGGAATGACATGGGGAAATGCCGTGAATCGTCGGTCGGTCCCTTTCACCGTGGAAACGACCCAGTGGACTAGACCGCAGTGGACCAGACCTCCGGGATGTGATGGCGTCTGGAATCAGAGGGAGACCTGTCTGGGTGTGTTAAAGCCTAGCGATGGCCCCCAACCTAAGAGCGATGGCCTCCAACCTGGTGACGGGTCACTAGCCATGGCCAACTGAAGAGCGACCTGGGAGACCTCCCAGGCGTGACGTCACCCGAACCCGCTGGAATGTTCGGTTCGGTTCCGAGGGTGACCAGTCGACGGAACCGAATGGCTGGGCGAGAGCTGGGGTGTCCACCGGACTCAATCAACACACACACGGTTCCTACCAGACTTTCACTTTTCTGGCGTTTTTCTGAATGCTCAAACGGCTTCGTCCTTTGTAAAGGGCGAGCGAGTTGTTTTGTACACATCTGTTTTTGGGTAAGCAATGTCTACAAGTCTACCAGGACTCTGCACAAGATCTCTCACAAGGATCTTGCGCGAAGATCACTGTAGGCGATGTCTGGATGAGATCTGTGCAACATGTGTACATGCCTTAGTTGAAGTTAGATTCCAATACCATATCAGCCTGGTGCAGAAGTGTCAAGTTCTTCCATCCAAGTGTTGTGTGGAATCGGCGGAATCCGGTGCTTGGCCGCAGGATCGAACACCTAGATCACGGGCTCGGAACCAGGAGCATCTCGGGCTCGGGTTTCAGCGACGTCATCTCAAAAAGATTGACAACATCAATCAGCACCTCATCCGTGGGTAGTGGGTGAAAAACTGTTCACCTTCCATCCATGAGTGATTCTCGGTCTGTGGCACGACACTGTGCAAAGACTACTCAAACAAGCTGCTTGCAGCGGAAACCCGATTACAGGATCCTCCCCAATCACTGGGGTACAACCAGTGTGACTTCGCCAAGGCTGCAACGTCGTTCTTGGACGTCAAACGATCCGCTTTTTTTCTGAGCCAAGAAACGAACGAAGAGCCTTTAGCAGCGGGATTGGGGCGCTCTCTACGAACTCTTTTGGTGTTTCCAGCAAGACTCTTTCACACTGGAGTCACCTGCACTGGGGCCATCGACCAAATGGTGGGTAGGTTTTTTGCAAGCGGAAAAAAACACGAGTGGAAAACTGGCGTTTGTACGCGCGAAGGACCCGAAATGGCGAGGGAATGACGAGAGAACGCCCCAAGCTCTCCTTTCTCAACCTTCGTCCTTCGAAGTTCGGTCCTTGTGCAGCACGTGCTGGTCCAACCTGCTGAAAGGACACCCGAGCTGCGCCGCGCCGTCTGCCCGGGCGCTGCTCGCGCTCGCGCCACAACCCATGGATCCGAAGGTCACCAAACGATGGAGTGCCAAGAATGATGCTAAGCGATGTTCAAGTTCTCAAGCTAACTAACCCATGTTGGGGACGGAATTCCATGACATGTTCCTGCAACGAACTTCCTTGAGCCTCAAAAACTGCCGCGGACGAAAGAAGATTCACATGATGGGGTCGAGAGGATCTTAAAACAACCGTAGGATCTCGTAAGGAGCTCCACATCTTTCAATGCAAAGGGGCGGAACCCGAGCCACTCAGGGGGTGCAGTTGTTGCTTGAAGAATTAGAAAAAAAATGCTATAAAATTGGAAATTTGATAAAACTGTCTCATGTCCAATTGCTTTTTTCCGCTGCCTGGGCCACCGAACACTGCTCTTGCACCACCGCTGCCAAGGGCAACTGGTCGCATAGCTCGCCAAAGGCGTCCAGCAAGTCATCCGCCTGCCGTTGAGACGTCTGCAAACGCCCCACACCGGCCACGCCTGAAGAAACCACCGGCCACGTGATGTCCGCGTGGGAATCATGGATGGCACCATCGCCCGGCTCATGCTGGTCCAAAAGAAAGCATCATGTTTGGTCGACACGAAGGCAAGAGGTTTGGTGGTCAACACCTGCCGGTGTACTTGGTCTGGAGGGGGTACGGCTTGGTGGTATGGAGCTGTTGGCGCTCCTGGGTGCCTGATATCTCCGAAGTGATGGTCAAAGGGCCAATGAATCTCCAAGAAAACCTATTGAGTGGTGCATGTCCATCCAAAATCTGCCCCAGTAGATGTTAACTCGATCTCTCAAACCCCCAAAAGCACCCCCCCCCCCAAGGTACCCTATGGTACCCACATGAGGCCACCAGCTGCCCACCCGCGAGAACCCGCTGAGCCGGCGCCTCCGAGCGGTCGTACTTGGCCTCGATCTCTCCACTGAAGCCCGTGGCTCCATACCTGCTTCGATGCGCCCAAGCCGACGTTGAGCAACCACTGGGTGACCTGGTGTGGAGACGTGGAGCAACACTCAACTAGATAGAGCAACCCCAAAAACACGAGGATTCTTCTGAAGGAGAGGACGAAGCAAAACACGAGTTGTGGGTATACCTCGTGTTCACCGGTGGTCATGCTCTCGCGATGTTGGTCATCCTTGCAGTAGATTCAGTAGATGTTCCAATAAAAAAAAAAAAGTAGGAGACCAGGAAGTCGAGCTTCAAAAAGCTTCGAGACGGCCCAGGAACATGTACACAGCTTGGGTGTATCCCTGTTCTTCGTGAGGGAAAGAGAAGTTTCGGTGCGGCATCAGAGCAAATCCACCGAACAAGAACGGCACGCACCAACCGAGCTGTTTGCCCAAAATCACCCACCAAAACCAACATCTTACAACCAAAACTCCACCTTCCCAAACAGCCACGCTCCACTGCCCTCGTTTGGCCATGGGTCATTCTGAACCAAACGCCTATTTGGACCAACCCACGTCCGTTGGGACCAACCCCCTCATCCACGACCGAACCGACGAGTTGTTGCGCTGCGGCCAGGATGCTGCGGCCAGTAGTCGCGGTCTTCATGATTGCCTTCGTGCCCGAAGGAGGAGGAGCTCGGAGCCCGGCGCTCCGAGGAGTAGGACGCGGAGGGTCTTGGAACCGCGAGCTTCGACGACATGGATCGAGCCGTAGAAAAATCCAGCGCTTTCACGTTTTGCGGTGGTTTTGAACGCCAAGGCGGGGCGACCCAAGAAGTTAGCGTTCTCTCCTTGGGTTTTCGATTTGGACAAGTTGGAGGTCAGGCTGGTCAACTGGCCTTCCACTGTGCCTTCCCAAAGCAACTGATCATGCTGAGAATATGCTGATATGCTGCATTCACATCGTAAAGGTGAATGGAATGGGTTGTGAATTTTGGGCTGCACCTTCGATCGAAGCTGGCGGCCATTCAGGTGCTCCATTTGGTGAACCGCAGAAATGACACGCCCGACAAGCCCAGATCAAAAGGGGTGAGAGTGAGCTATGCAAAACCTTCGTCTTCGTTTCAAATGTTCATCGCTCTTCAGGCCTCTTTTTGATTCCTGATTCGCTATGAAGCCCGTCCCTGCCCACATGTTCATGAAAAAAATATTCCAAGAAAGTCGTTGGCCCTTTCTGTTACAGACGGACCGTCTCGGTGGCCTCTGGTCACATAGATGCACTCGGGCGCGGCAATCTTGTAAGCAAGAACCTGGACATGCGAACATCACCATCACCATCGGAGCACAGCACGTGCGAGGAGGACGTCGTTCAGATGGTCCAACAAGTAACAAGACCACGAAAAAACCCGTGGTTTCAGAGGCCTCCCAAGTTCGGTGGTGCTATGGACCCCCATCTTGTCAGGACATGTAGGAACCACTGTAGTAGTCCTAGAAATCCTGCACCATTTGAGGCAGACCATTTGGTTCTAAACACGGTGGATCCAGCTGGTCGAATTCTTCCGTCAGTGGTTAGAACAATATATTATATAGTATATGGTTGTTGTGGGCTGTTCATTGCAGTCTGTATCGCGTTTTCTCACGTGTACTGTACCGCCTTGGAAGGTCCTAGAAACATGTCAACTCCAGAAAGGCCAGCATTTGTTTGACACACCCTGTTTGTAGAGCAGCCAAAGAATAGAAATCCAGAAGTGAACAAGCAAAACGATCCATCAAAAAATCCAACGAGCATCTGTACCAGAGCAAGCTTGCCTCATTGCAGGCAATCCTCGGGGTCCCATTTGGCGCTGGTCCTTTGAGGGGAAGTAGCCGGCAAGTGGATATTCAATTCCTCCTTTCCGCCCAAGGTGTCTTGACCGCCTGACCGCTTCTCCTTTCCTCCGCCTAAAGTGCAAAAGTTGTTCTATTGGCTCAACGATTGATAAATTTGTGTGTGTGTGTGTCACTATACATGTATATATTAGTATAGTATACCAATATATACATCAAATATGTATATCATGCACAGCTCGCGAACTTGCTTGGCCGCCAATGTCAAGCGCTTCGTCAACGACTCGCCCCCCTCAGCACCCCGGCCGAGGCCCAAATCTGCAGGGCGCGCTGCCCCCCGCGGCGCTCCGAGTCGCCGCGGTCCTCGGTTTCGTCGGGCAGTCGCGGAGGACGCGGAGGACGGCGGCGGTGTCTCCGGTGTGTGGATGCTGGAGGTCACTAGTTTCGAGAAAGGCCTCCAACTGAACAATCATCCACTGAGGCCCTGGTAATCGAACGTGAGACGGTGGGTACGACGAGACAAAGTTCCGCTTCCTCCAAGAAAAGTGATGTTCCACACGGGTTCTCGGGTAGGTCCTTTGGAACATTGACCAAGCTTTGGTCCCCAATGAGAAGTGACTCGACTGGCAGGGCACTTGACTGGAAGCCAGGTTGATCCAATCAACATCTGACAGGTTCTGACTGAGGAGTGGGACAAGATCTGACGGAGTCTATTTGTTGGAAGAAACCACAGGTACTTATACTGTATATACCCTCGCAAGTACCGTGTCGGCCAAAAAGGGATACTCCTACCACCAAGCAGGAGAGGACCTCGAGTGACTCTTTCATTGGCTTTCCCTGCTGAGATCAGGTGCTGAAAAGGGCTCCCCTAGTCAAACAGTCTGTGTGTGTGTGTCATGTAAACCCATTGACTTGCGAACATCTGCTTTCGGATGTGTTCCGACCCAGGCACAGCGGCACACCCTGAGTCGACAAGGCACACAAATATCACCGTTGAAGAGGTAGACCAAGTCTTTGCTTGGTAGCCCTTCTGTCTTCCAAATGTGCACAACATCTTTCAAGTGACCTCAGCGACTGTGGTGACTGTGGTGACTGTGGTGACCAAGTACTCACGACCGCTTTCGTCAAATCCGACAGAGGACGATGCAAGACGACAGGTACTTGCCAATCATTACACCTCATCAAGGGTCTCTTGGGCCGCGCTTGGGCTACAGAACCCTGGTAGCTGGTCCCGTCCGCCCGGCCGCGGTTGGTTTCAAGGGCCGAGGCTCCATGGGTATCTCCCAGGATGACGAGGCGACCGGCAGGGACGCTCAAGCGCAGGAGCATCGGCTCCCATCGCACCAGCTCCTGGGGAGGCCGTGTTGGACTGTCGCAGAATGGATGTGGATCATAATGGTCTTTTCGTATTCAATCATATTCTCACGGTATGCACACAACATGCGGATCTCCAACCGAATTGATCTTCGTCAAGTCCACAGAACCGTCGCTGCCCCGGGTGTGGAAAGCTCAGTCAAGCTACCCATGCCGGTAGAGCCTTGAAAAAGCGGATTCGTACGGATTCGTCAGATTCACAGTTGACCAAACCTGGAGTCGAGTGGCCTTTTACTTGCTCCTGATCAAGTGGCCCTAGAACATTATCCAGCATCTTCACCTGAGAAATCAGGTCAACTAGGAATCGATTAAGCTCCTTAGTTAGACTCTTGAAAAAGAGAAGCATTCGAGTGGCTTCATCCCTCTGGCCAAAAAGGGTACAGAAAAACATGTTCCCACATGTTCGCACTAGATCCTTCCTGTGGCTTTGCAGGTCTGTTGCAGCTTTGAGACTTATAACTTTCAGGTATGAAACGAGCTGTGGAGCTTGGAGAAGGCTCCCTGTTTCGGCAAGAACTGGATACCCCCTGTAGCTCCCAAGCCGGAAAGCTCCCTCCGAACCGCAGCAGCTGTCGAAAAGGTCGGAAACTGTGCAGTCTAAAGCTTTTCCAACTGTGGGGAGTCTTCTCGCCGCTGAAACATCTGGATCACCTCGAAAATATGGCTGGTCTGGTCCTGTGCAAGTCCCTGACTAAGCTTGCTTTGGTGTCAAATGCACTTCTTGCTCGGGGCTCCTTGCCCGCACGCACCAGGGCCAACAACAAGCTGCAGGGCAAGGGATTTTCGCCATTCGAGCAGGACCTCACTCACTAATGAAAAACCGAAGTTCGCTTACAGGGTCTCACAAAACATATTTTTTGATGTGTATAATTCCTAAACCTGAACGCAGCCAGGGTGCTGAAATACGCTGTGTGCATCTTCCCACGTCATAGTGCCTGCAAAGCAGTCTTGGCAGCATTGCAAGTCAAACAAGTGAGAACAGACCTTGCCAGCAACTGTATATATCGAGGACAACATGTGTGGTTGATCTACGCCGGCGTCTCAAAAAGCGGGGACAACCCACGCGTCTTCATCACATTGTTCCTGTCAGCAGGCCACAAAGATGCTGACCGCACAGTTTCAGCAAACATGCAGAATGCACAGTTTCAAGACATTCAGATTCGCATGGATCCTACCGAGTGTAGAGGCCGGCCGCTGCGCCGCTCGTGTCGCAACATGTCGCAACATGTCGCACATCTTCACCGCGGAGTCTCTTCAGTTGGGACGTCTCTACACCTGGTCGACCCCGGCACCATCGCCCGGTTCGAGTCACGTTCGACGGGGTGCCGAACTTGGAGGAAGGAGTTGGGTACCCCTGTCATATCCACTCACTGGATGGGATTAAAAACCACTCCTTTGTGACTGGTACTTGAAGTGAGAACCCTGCCTCTCGGTATCGAAAAAAAGAAGAACTGCAGAATCTTCGGCGTTTGAGTGACCCTCCACCCACCCATGCCCATGCCTGCTGTGATGTGGCTTAGCAAGGTGCTCCAAGGTGTGGGCACTGGCCTATCCGAGCGTCGTGCCGCACCACCCAGGACCCGGCTCAGATGGATTGATGGGGTTCGAAGTACGGTTTGATGCGGTAAGATTTCGGAACCTTCCCTATAGAACTCCGAAACACCAAGAACATCCAAAAACCAGATGGGCTAAGGACCTTCTTACCTATAAAAACACGAGACGGTGTTGAGAAAAATGACTCAATGACCAAAGCATCAATGTTGTGCTGTTCTTTTTTAAATAGAGAGGAGGTTCTCATCTTCTCCACCCTCTCTCTGTCTAAAAGCGCAGATCGGATGCTTCATTCGGTCCGTTCTCCGGAAAAACGACCGAGACGGCGAGACCATCGGCTGAAACAGCCAGGGGCGTTGCTCGTCGGACCACCGAAGCCAAACCCTTCGTGGCATCCGCGCGTGTTATCCGGGCCGCTTCGCGGGCATCGAAAGCCCGAGACGACTGGAGCATCTGCTGGATTTGCTGAACGGATCAGAAGGCAGTCCGAAGCTGTGCCAAGCTTCTCTGCCCCCGGCGCGAAGTCTGGACCCGAATCCTGACTGGAGGGCGTCTGGGTGCCTCCACCCCTCCAAACGTCCGGAACGAAGGTGAGGGTCGGGACCCGCTCGAACCCGTTGACCCAAATTGAAGCTCTTGCTCTGTGTGTACCACAGCAAATGGAATGACAAAGGCAAAACGGGTTGTTCCAAAAGGGTGTGAAGAGTAAACACAGGTACCCCAGTACCTCACAGTACCTTCCTGGAACCCCAAACAACTAGAAACAAATGGTTGTTCCAATATGGCAATTGAAATCCTTTACATAGGAAATGGTTGTTTGGGAAAACATCCATTTCTTTCTGGTTGTTTGGGGTTCCAGGTTACCCTCTTTACTCAACTTGACTCTTTACATGATCGAAAACGCCCGGATGCCCCTCCCCACGGGGTTCACGCCTCGGCACGGCCTGCTTTGAACCTCTCGTCGCGTGGCTCACGAAGAAAACACTCCCAGCAGGAAGCTCCCAAGCGCTCTCTTCGGGCATCACAGCAGAAATGGATCAAAGATGTTAAAAGATTCCTGTAAGAGTCTGTAAGAGTGATTCAATTTAAGCTGAGATAAGAAAAGGAAAGAAGGTCAGAGCGATCCACAATAGACACACCACTTCAAAACCAAAAGCCACCGCGCCCCCCGTATGTGCGCGCCACCTCCGCCCTCCCACCTCCACCAAAAAAAAAGAAACCTCCTTATCTGGGGACGGGTCGCGAGACGTCACCTGGTTGTCCAGGTCCACCGTGGATAGGTCGTGCCCGGTCGGGAGACCGCCACGCCACAGCCGTGCCCGGTCGTGTCCAACGGTCGGTCCGAAGCCCCCGCCGGAGTCGGACGGTGCGACCCCCGGGAGTCGCATGCGGCCGGTTTCGGATCGGAAGATTTTCCAGGTGTTCAAAGCACCGGAATTCCAGTGATCCAAAGCACCGGCCGACAGCACGCAGCAGCCTCATGTGGAAGTGGAAAGCCACTTGTTTTGCAGATGAAAAAGCCTCGTCTTCCTGTCAGCACCACGGTCCACCCATCCACCGATCTGGTGTGAAAAAGACACGCCGACAGCTCGCTCCGAAGCTCCCAGCACATCCTCGCGCGACCCCGCGCGGCCGCGGAACGCGGCCTGGACGTTCGGTGCCGCGCAGCGCTTCGAAGGCCTTCCGCTGCTTCGAGGAGAAGCGGAGCGCATCGCTCTCGCTCTTGGCCTGACTCACAGGCGCCGGTGCTGTGGGGAGGTCGGTGGGCAGAGGTGCCGGGTGAAGACGAAGGAGGAAAGTACACCAAGGCAGATCACGCAAGACACCAGGCGAAGTCATCCAGGCGAAGGGAAATAGAATCTTCGTAGTTTCACAGCCCCGTTTTCATCTTTTGTCCACAGCGGACGCCTTTCAATCAGAAGCATCATCAAAAACCCGCCAAGCGCAGAAAAAGTAATAAAAGATAATAAAAGAACTCAAACATCTTCTAAAGCACCGGGAAAAAAAAACAAACCCCACTGCTGTCTTTCCCCACTGCTCGTGTCGTCTGACTTCGAACCTCGAGGCCCTGAAGTAGACGGCGAAGCACTGCTTTGTCTTGGGGCAACAAGACCTGACACGTGCGCGTCACGCCCAACGAAGACCAGCCCGGGGCCCACATGGCCAATGTCCGTTGGAAGAAGGAAGACCTCACTGGGTGCAAGGCACAAGAAGACCCACCCAATTATAGGACACAAGCAACAATCTTTGAGGTCTTCGCCCTAAAAGTCTAATGGGTAAAAAGGACTGGCAGGTTTGAAGGCCACACAAATACTGGCAGGTCAATCTGGTCCGTCATCCTGTCAAGATTGACTGTGTCAATTGACGCAACAACATGAGGCAAGCCAATTCTTGGCCTTCTTCAATCCGCTGCTGCAGGAAGGCACACACCAACTACCTGCGACAGCGATGCTCGGAGACTTATTGACTTATTCCGTATTCCTGGAAACGACATGAGATTGGACTGAGCGGTTGGGCAACCCCATGTCCATTCAAGTCCACGTCCATCTCCTATAAACCCGACACATGGGGAAATGTGGATCACCTTCAAATGAGTTCACCCCTTGCTTGCACCTGCCAGCAGTGTAGCTGTTCCAAAACCCATCTATTCTTACAGGAGAATCAAACATCATCAAGTGTCCTTCCTAAAGCAGCAAAATTCATTCTCCCACAGCTCTGCCATCAACTTAAGAACTCAGATCTGCCTTGTGGCCGACATGTTCCACTCCATCAGTTCCAACTGCTCACTGCTCTGCGCAGCGTGGACGGTTTTTCGGGAATCGGAGGTGGATCGAAGGAAAGGAGGTGGATCGAAAGGAATTCTTCCCCATCAGTTCCTTCTTCCCATTCTTCCCCATCCTTCCCCATCGTTCCCCTCGCAGGCGACCTACCTCCTCCCACGGGGTCGACCGTCCGCGAGAGAGGGTGCGCCGCCCGAGGTTTCGGCGCCTTCTTCGGACTGCAAGCCTGCAAGATGGGGTCAGTGAACAAAGGAGAAGGGAAGGCCTTCTGAGTCGGCAGACCAGTATAGATAGTATAGTGTGGAATCGAAGTGAACTCCAATTGGAGATTTGCGAATTCCACTGCCCATTTGGGCTGCAAAAACAGGATTTCTCCCTTTTTGAACTTGGGATCTTCCTGCTGTGCGTCCTACTGACCAAGCCTTGGAGTGGACACGCACCAAGAAGACCCCTCCTTTTTTGCAGGTCCCAAGCCTCCCAAAACCTGGATGCTAGACACCCAACCGTTCCCTGAACATCGGGCACCGCGCCGATGTGGCAGCGCCCAAGATCGGACGTCACGGAAGACACCGTACACAGGCGCGCGGGGCCTGCGAGGAAATGGGACCTCGAGGCCGACCTGGTGACGGGAAGCCTGGACCTGTTCTTTTTGGGATCGGACCCGAATCCTGACTGGTTCGAAACCAATCCCGATCGGTTTTGGGTTCGGGACCCGCTTCCGGGGCTGTGAACGCGTCTGGGTGGGAGAAGGAACAGGTCGAAACAATCGACCGTCGCACTGCTTCGGACCTCTCATCCCCCCAAATCATGCTCCTGATTCTTATACTATAGTTGCCATTGGTATCGATGGGCACGACTTGCTCCCCGAACTTGTTTCCTTCTCTAGTAGGGGGTGGAAGTTCTCGCTCCGAACGGCGCGGAGACGGCGCGCCGCGGCATCGGACGCCCATCGCGACGGGGCCTCGGGGAGGCGTAAAGACCACGCGGGACCCGACCTGCGGAGGCTTGGACGACCTGCCCGCCCCTTTTTGGGGCCAAAAGAGAAAAACAAAGGCAAAACCGCCCAATTCTCCAAGACTGAGGAATCAAAAGTGTTCTATGTAGTAATATGTAGTACATGATTCTACTTAATATCCTGTCATGTTTGGTATCCACTCAGGTCAAAATACACCTCTTCAATCAATTCCATGGTACGATGCATGTCACAGTACTTCATCTATTTCTGCAGTGTCCCGTGTCCCTATCGATGTTCTTGCTCGAACCTCAAGCCCCATGTCTCCCTGTGCCCGATTTGGAGAAGCTGCCATGCGTTGGGAAGAGGTGCGTTTGAGAGTAGTGCACTGAGTCAACAACTCCTGCTTGCATTAGCCCAAAAAGCTTGTGGAGGGGATGGAACACCAAGCCACTTGGACTGGCAGTAGCCCTTGCCGCCACACACGCAACAAACCTTGGTGCCATTGAGACACCTCGTACGGACACTCCTCCGCTGGCTCCTTGCACGTCGAACACGCTCGCAGGTTGCAGGCTGCACCGAGACGGACACCGGCCCCACTCGTGGGGCTCTCTTTTGACCAGCGATGCCATGTGGAGCCGTATCCTCTGCCAAACAAGCGGGTGAGGTCCTCGTTGAGGCTTGCAACCAAAAAATACCATGTGATTTGTTGCTGCTTTAGGGATCTCAACAATGAGGCATCCAGTCAACACATGGGAGGCCTGGACCACGAGCTATACACCTCATGGCCCACCTTGGGTATCCAAAAAAGTGCCCTTTTTATCCTTGGGCTGTGGCTGCGCTGTCTGGTGCAGGGAAAGTCCCGCCAGACAACTAGCAGGATCCACATCCCATACAACTTACAACATCCGTTCGAACTCTGACTGCGATTGTCTGGAACTCCAGCATCAATCTATGGAACGAAATACAGTAATTGCCTCGTGCAGATCTTGCCAACTATGAAGCCAGGAATTCCCTCCTCCAGTTGCACAAAAGTGGCGAGCCTAAAGGGCTCAAGACTTGTGCTGGCAAAGATGAAACTTTGGATCAGGTGCCCACCAAACACCGCCTTCAAACACACCGACAGTCACACAGTGTGTGTGCCCCCCCCGCTTGGAAGCCCGTCCGTCCTGCAACCGCAAGCGTTTGTTGGCCACCATGGCATCCAATAAGTATCATGACAGGCTGGTCATGATGCACAGCTGGTCGTGTGAACCAAAGGCGACTCTGACCCTTAAGGGGCTGGTGAACCAAAGGGGCTGGTCAATGAAGCATCCGCAGTGACCTTTTCGTAACCGAGAATGAATCATGAGTGTTCGTCACCGGACATGCTGCGTCTGACCAACTCGTGCGGAAAATTTCGCCCGACAGGTGACATCGTCGTACGAGGCAGGCGCTCCTCCGGTGCTCGCTCCTCCGCGATCGGCGCTGTTTCTGCAAGAGGACCGTTGGGTCAAACTGCGGAAGACTGAGCTGACACCCACTGAGGACATGGTGATACCATGGTGATGAGCATTTTGAATCGAATCCCAGGCGATTCTTTGGAAAAATGTAGTAAAATAGAGAAGCTGAAGCCAATTTCACGTGTCTCGATATTTCACGTGTCCTTGGGCACAACGACACGTGAGGGAACCGGACGAAGACTGCGTTTGAAAGGCCATCCAAAGGCTGCAGCCCGCCCAGCCCGGGTTGTGATACAACATATTATGATATTATGTATATGTGTGTGTGTATCATGTGAAGCCCCGAAACTCGACCTGTTCAGGTCGTCGTGGCTTTCTTACACTTCCGAGTCAAAGTGCTTCCCAAAGTTCAGAGAGCAACAAAATCCTTGGAACCCCTTTTTTCAGCATGGCGCCCAGTCAGAGTATTGAGTATCCAACAAACAAGTTGGAAAGCTGGATCCTGTTTTTTGCGCTACCACTACCGGTTCAAACTACCCTAGCTGAAAACGCCAGGACAGCTCTGGCCAGGGCAGCGGCAGCGGCTCTTTTCCTCTCTCCCCTTTTGGACGAGCGACCGTTCGCGCAGAGCGAACAGCTTCGCGGGCTATGGCGAGAGCCATCCAATCAGCCGCCATAAGCCTGCAAAAAAAGGACAGTCACTGGTTCGAAAGGCATCGGCACTTCAAGAGGCTCAGGCCGGGCTCTGCTTGCAGTCTCCAAGTCCAGTGATGGAAACATCCCCAATCATTAGCTACACCGTAAAGCCAAGGCTACAAATCTTGGGGTTGATCAAGTCATGAGAGAAGTCGTTGGGTTACAAGCCTTTTTGTTGTTGGATGAACTGGGATGAAGAATAGGGTGTCCTCCCTGTGTCGGAATGAACCTGTACAGTGGCTATTAATCACTTCGAACAAACAAATATCCCAAAACGCAGATTCTGCATCAAGAACATCAACATGATAGACTAAAAGGATTGCTTTTAAGTGCTGCTCATAGAACATTCTGCCGTGTAAACAGAAAAGCTTGAAAGCCTCAAAAACTCGGCAAATCGAGGATTCGGTGCCCGAGCAGGCGGATCCAAAAAAGAACGAGGTTGCACTCTTCGGATCCATTGTGGAGTGCTAGTGACAGTGTGAGCAATCAGCGGACAAGCCCTGTGCAAACACCAAACATGTCCTGCCCTCTTGCCCGGTGTCTTTTTCCGATTTCTGAAGACGGTGCAAACGGGGATAGTCTTTCTTCCAAGTGCAGGGTCAGTATGTTCTAGGTGAAGTGAAAAACACTTGAATAATAAAGTGATTGTCCCTCACTAGACATGGGAGCTCCCCAATTGTTCCACCGACCCCATCAGCAACAGTTCTAGTTGACCAAAAAGTGCATAGAGAAAGAACACATTGTCACTGCCCTGTCTTTGGTTGCTGGTAAGCCTGGCCTTAGCACTGGGTGCCGGCAACTTTCTCCAGTCCCTGGGACGAACTCTTGCGGACGAGGGTTTTCTTCGCCCACGTCGACTAGGCATGCAGAGCAGTCTTCTCAAGCGCAGCTCGCCGGGATTCTTGTAGGTTCCGAAGCGCGTGTTTTCGTGTTTTCCGCTTTCATGTTGCTCATCTCTAGAACAAGCAGGTCTGGCTTAATGATGTTGATCCAAGAGAACTTCTTCTTGGGATGAGTATCATGGATGCTTTGGTGTGATCTACCAGGCCAAAATCATATGTGAGCTGACAGACCCAAAGCCATGAAGCAGCTCGTGCCGAATAGATTCGTTGGACCACCTAGGCAAAACGTGTCCATTGTTCAACCCGGCGAGTGGTCGCTTGAACAGGGACACTCCCTCAAGTGGCCCCCAAGACTCTTTACTCTTTACAGGGCCTCTTGATCAATGATGTCGTTGGTTGGTTGGTTGGCTGGTCGGTCGGTCTACGATAGCTGGCATGGATACCTCTCTTCTTTCTGGAAGGATCGATCAACTGGTTTAGCCCCGATCCACCTCAGCCCCCCCAGTTCCCTACTGAGCTCTCATCCCCTCCCTTCAACCCACC